GAAGAGGATTGATTTCAAAGTGTTCTTGATGATAACTATCTATATAGCAATTTTCGAGATCAATTTAGTTGAAAATCGCTATATAGATATTGCTCATCAAGAATATTTTTGAGTAATATTTTCTTTTATAGGGTTTTAGCTTTAAAACAAGCATAAGAACCAGGTTGTTGAGGTATTGTAAGTTTTTTGTAAACTTTCCATGTTCTGTTTCATGTGTGAGCCACCATATGATCGAGCGATTAATGTTATTCGACAATTTCAAAGATTTGACTTGAATCAAAGAGCTCAGTAATTTAAATTTATAGTATAAAATTAATAATTCTATGACACAATCTTTATCCTTTGTCAACGATAGTCATCAAAGGAAATAACAAAAATGCAGATACATGTAACAACCACATAAATTATTAAGCCTGTATTATTTCGGTGAGCGCCTGAGGTGACTTTTTCTGTGGATAGTCCGACTGGGTCTTGAATTTGATGTATTTTACTTGGAGATGAGAACAACGCAGTTTGAGTCGTGGTATCGGAAGAGGTAGAAGAATTGCTACGATTTTAACAGTGCATAAAAACATAATTTAAAAACAAATTTACATAATTATTTTTATGGTAAAAATAAAGATTACTTCGCTACAGAGTCATTCGCAGTATCATCCGCATTATCCGCTGGAATTTCGTTATCAGCAGGTAGCAGTGACGGATTATAGTAATGTTTATTGATGACGGGGGAATTATTGTCGGCTTTTGTACTTTTAGATGAATTTGATGCGACTTGAGCAGATGTTATTGGATTTGGCAGATTTGTAGCATTTGATGAAAGGTCGTTGCTGCAAATTAATCGACCCAAATTATAATATAATGAATAAGGTGGTTGTTTATAATAAAACATATGTTAAAATCATTGCATACCTGGAAGGATTGCTTTTTCCACATTAAAATATGTATTTTGATGAAATAGAATTAATATTCATTTATATAATCTTGACATATTAATCATGTTAATGTACACATAGCTACCTGATAGGGCTATTTGCTTTTCCATCTGCATTCTCGTTGGATTCTGGAATACTCGGATTGCTATGTAATTGGACAGTGCGATTAACATTAAAGATAT